GGGAGGGCGACAGCTGAAGGGCTGGCTTGGAATGCTCTCTGGTGGTGGGGAGCCTCAGGGTGAGCCCTGGAGAGGTTCTGCGGGCGGGGGTCCTCTCGCCAGGCCAAGGGTGGGCCTCACCGGAGCCGCCGGCTGTCTGGCCCCGTCCCCTGAGGAGACCGGGCGGGCGGAAGGGCCTTCCCCTCCGTGGGGGGAGGCGTTTTCCAGAAGTAAATATCACTCCTTTTTTTCAGTGTTTTCTTTTAAAAAGTAAAATAGAGGAAGCACGAACATTCAGTGTAATCTTTCCTCTTCTTCACAAGCTTTTTCGGGCTTGGAGTTCACTAAATAACTGAAAGCACCTGAAATCAAACTCGCAGGAGAGGGGGAGGGGCTTGAACTTTTTTTTTTACAACATATGTACACTTTGAAAGTGTCCTAAGTTGCAGGTGGTGGAAGAAGGAGACATCAAACACACTGAAGTAGATGCTTTAAAAACAAAAAGCTATAAAGTTGTGCGTTGGCTTGGTGTGGGGGTGTCACAGGAGAGCCTCACGATGAATCCCTGGAGTTGTCTTCACCTGTATCTAAATCCTACACTGTACGGACTGTGACAGGCAGAATTGTTCTCTGCTTCTAAATGGGCCCCGTTGCCCTTCAGAGGGAAAACTATGTGTTTCTGTGCTCTTTGTGTTATGATGGTATTTGGGGTAACTACTAGCTACTGTTTGCATTCACCTGGCCTGAGAAACCTTTCATCAGGGAAGAAAAGGAGAATAAGCACCTAGGAAAACTAGTCCTTGAACTACCAGAGAACTGCATTTGTGTTTCTCTTCTTAAGACTTCTCCTGTTTATTGAGACTGTAAACATTATAAAATACGAAACTGAGATAATGTGCTTTTTCTTGAGAGGAAAACAGATTGAAAACATAAACATAAGCATACATATTGTATCTAAATTTACTATAGTAATCAGAAGATTCAGGCAAATGCATGAATGGCATAAGACTTCATTTTCAATGAAGCAGTTCCTCAGGGTTTTTTAATTTTAATGACACTGGTGATGTAAAGCAAAGCTTTTCTTCACCTATATTAATTAAATGACCATTTAAAATGTCCAGCTGCTGTTCAGAATAGTTTACTGCTAATAGTTTGAGTTATTTCACTCCTAAGTATGCCTTCTGTTTATCCTTTTTCTTAACAGTGGAGTCAGTGTTGCAAATGCATACATGACCTAGAATTTTCATGTTACATTTCCTCTTTTACCATTTATAGATCTGTGGAGTTGCATTAGAAACATGTTTCAGGTGTGTCACAGAAGAAATTTCAAGTCTTTCATTAAGCAGGGTGGGACGGCATTAGTCAGAGGTTGAAATGCGTGTGTCACACTTGTATAATTTACTGTGCTCGCTGGCTTGCAAAGATGGAGTACCATACTCAATTGCTGTGTATTTCGCTAAAAACGGGAGATGGTCCTTTGCTACTCCTGTTCAAATGCAAGCTTTGGGAAAAAAAAAAAAAAGGTTTGAATTACTGATTATAAGTATGAAAGCAGATTTTTGTAGTCCTTCATAAAAATATCTTAACAATTTTGTTTAGAAAACTGTAACTTATCAGACCTTTCATTTTTCTGCTAAACGGATGTAATACCTGAAGTATTTAAGAATCTAACTTCTCTGAGATTCTCTGCAGGACTGTGTTGTTCATGCATGCTGTATTGCGAGATTTGCAGACTAACGAATAATCTGTTACAGTAACTAGTATCTCTTTCAATTGTTTCTGTTCTTTTTTTAGGATACTGGTGTGGGCAAATCAAGTATCGTGTGGAGATTTGTAGAAGATAGCTTTGATCCCAACATCAACCCAACAATAGGGTAAGAAACTAAGTAAAGTAAATGTGACTTATTCAAGAATTAAACCACACTATATGAATATATATTTGTACCTCCTGAATAGATCATGTGGGGATTCTCCATGTGTGGCAGATAAATGTGGTAATAAACATGACTGCAGCCTTAATTAGCTCATGAGGTACCTTAGGAAGCATAGGAGTGTATTCGGCACTCCTGCAGCTTCCATTTTTGTGTGTGAAGTCTGGACTCATTTTGTACTGCTAATCTAAACTAACAAAATCGTGCTAGGAGTCCTGGGTTGTGAATAAATTACACTGTAGAATCTTCTGTTGAAGGAACAACGTGCTTTTCTCATGCACTACTCTTAAATTTCAAAGTCCAATTATTATGCAACTACCTATTGTTTTTTAAGTTCTGGGGGTTTTTTAAAGAATCAAGTACAGTAATAAGTCTGCTAGGTTTTTGAAGGTAGTTAACATACTAATTCAGGTTGTAAATCTCTTCATTAATTAGTTCTAATTGCATTTATATGCAATATGCATGCTTGTAAGTGACGAAATTGTTAATGCAATGCAATTGGTTTCACCTCAGAGTAGCACGGTTACCGAGCTCAAGTCTTCAAATTGATAGGATGGGTAAGCATCAGGAACTCTTGGAGTGGTTGGATCTCTTTATTTCTTCTGCTGTCTTCTTTGCTTTGCAATTCTCTTATGGGCTGCTTTGCTCAGAAGTAATTATTTACTTACAGGAGGACACGACTTCACTTGATGCTGAGAAATGTATGTGGGGGGTGTCAGTGCAACTTCCTGATTCAGGTGTCGCACAGGCTGAACTACAGCTTTGACCAGAAAATATCCTGCTGATAAAGATCATCTGTGTCTCATCCTGTCCTTCTAAAAAAAGTAATCTTTCTCTCTTCCCCCCACACCTCCCAGCCTCTTTTTTGAGGGTAAATACTGGTATCAAATGACAAGACATTCTGTAGGAAGTATGCTTTTGTTTAAATTTCCCTGTTAAGAAAGGTAGCCTTTGAGATAGATTGCTGAGCAGTTTTCTTGGATCTTCAAGGACCGAACATTCTTAGTTACTGTCAGATTGCCTGCAGTAGAGGTTCTTTTCTGGAGGACCACAATACTGATCTGTGGATAGTATATTGCTGTTTGCTTAAGTAGGAGAGCAGGTTGTTGTAAACATTTAAGTTCAGGTTGTACAGAACAATCAGACCTCTTGCCCATAGTGATACCAACTCTGAGTAAAACAACTTCTTCAGGGGGACACTATTGAAAGATCCAGTTGTTTTTCTTATTACCTGAGATGTTTGAGAAATTGGTTATCCATTTTCATTCCTAGTAATCCAGATGCTTTTAAAAACACTCTGTTAAACGGTTGGCTGAAATGAGTGGTATCTACAGTGGCCCAAACTTACCTATTGTGTTCAGGTACGGTAACACAGGCAGGTTTTGCAAACATGAGAGGTGCCTGTTTATTTGATGGGGTTGCTCTGCTCTATAGTTAGAGATATGTCACCACACATCTCGACTACTTGGGTTAAATGTCTGAGTAACCCAGTATGGAATTTGCATTATGTCTCCAATCACCTGTGAACTGCAACCTCCTGGAGTGCTTTCAGATTCTAATATTCTAAAATACTGTGCTTGATGGCTTTAGGCTCTTCATGTCTGCAAGACTATGTAAAGCTGCAGAGTAAAGATTGTGATCTGTGATTCTTCTATTCAGGCAAAGCAGAATTTTCTATTATCTGCAGAAAACTTGTGAGAGGGTTTATGGTAGGGGTTTTTTTCTTTTTTTTCTTTCCTCTCTGTGAAGGGCTGAGACAGGAATGAACTTCCATCAAATCTTGTCTTCCTTCCAAAGTCAGTTTGTTTTAATTCTGACTGTGTGGTGTGTGGGTTGATTTTTTTTTTTTCTTTTCTTCTTCTCCCTCCAATGTAGCACCTGTCTGAACTTGGGAACCCCGGGAGATCATATGCACATGTCTTCCCATGGGAATGTCTGTAACAGATACTGTGTAGTAACTTAAGGTACTGTTAGAAGATGCTAGCCATTGTGGTAGTGAGGCTAACGTGTAGAACAGAGTTTGTCTTCATGGGTTTAATGACAGTACTGGGATTAGTATACTTTATTGAAGTGACACACCAAAAATCTGTCTTTTAGTAGTCTTAAAATGATTTGTTGGTAGTTTGCTATAGTAGTATAAATGAATCAAAACTTGCCCAAATGCCAGGATTGTGTGAAGTTCCAATAAGATACAGTCCCAAAATTTTAAGCAAATTCATTTTGAAACTGTCACAATTAAAGCATCCACTTTTTAAAGAATTTCAAGTAGCATGTCACCTCTATTGTCATCTAACATTTGGTGTGTTTAGTTGTGATGTGAATTAGAGCAACACAGCTGTTCAGTTCAAATTGACTGTAGAGGAATGCTTAGTCTTATAGAACCAAGTAAGATAAATTTTCAGTGAGAATCTATGATTTAGGAAATAGTTTCCATATTGGCCAGAGCATTCAGAATTGATGCTTAATTTGCAGCAGTCTTAAGGAAGTGTAAGTCTTTGCTGTGCTTTGCACCAGATACTCCTGTCACTTTATTTTCCATTGCTTATTGCATCATCTAGTTAACTGTGGTGAAATGCATTGCAGTTAGACTCTTTCTTTTTAGGGATGCTACAACCTTGTATCTGGCTTCTTAAAAGAGTAATCAACTTTGGAGATTGACATACTATTTGGCAAACCATCTGAGCTTAAGGAATGGGGAGAAGGTTACCTCAACAGTGGAAAGCATTGTGTAATTGCTCCCTTTCTTTATTTTAAATGTAATAGCTGTTTTGTACTCCTGTAACATTGAACCATGTCGAAAGACATGTAGTTATATTAACTACAGAAGTATTGAGGACATTAAAATCTATGCCCTGGTGGTACTTAAGATCCAAGATAACGTTCATTATCTTGCAAAAGATTAGGTCTCAGAATCCCTGTTCTTGTGGGAAATGCACTGATTCATGTAAAGCAGATCAAGTAAAGCACAAAAGTACTCTACAATATTTGCAGTATTTTACTGTAAAACATCTAGAGGTTGAGGAAGGGGGCAGCTGGAGCATAAGGAGAGGTTTTCTTATTTGTCCTTTTGGAAGTGCAAGAGCCTCTGCAGACTGAAGTATATAATCACAGGATCTGGGAGCTGGACAGAGTGCAGACAACAAGCAAGTTACTTGTTATTGATTTCTCTGTCCTTGTAACACCTCCCAATAGTGATATGTATCTCCCGTATTTTATTCCCAAGTATGGACTTACTGGTGTTTATCTGAATGTTAGCACAGAGATAGAAAAAGCTGATACAAAGGGGACAGATTTGATCTCTTGCCCTCAGGAAGTTTCTGGTATACACTTAAGGATTTGCTGTGACGATTCCTCCATTTAGGAAGAATGTTGTGGAAAAGGCTGACCTTTCTGGTTTTTTGTTCATACATCATTTATTTTTATCAAAAGCTTGTGAACAATAAAAGCTTATAATATGTATTTGTGTTCCTTCTGTTTTGTTGCTTGAATTTCATCCCCCGAAAGGAAATTTAATCTTCTGAGGCCCTTTGCCTCATTAATTTCAGTCTTTAGATATGAAAGTCTTCATCAGTTGGGGGGGGCACTATTATTGGAATGTAAACCTTTTAAAAAGTTCATGGTGGTGATGTTCTAACAACATATTGATATTCTGAAAAGCATAAGCTGTAATTTTTTTCCAGAGCCTCATTTATGACCAAGACTGTACAGTATCAAAATGAGCTGCATAAATTCCTAATCTGGGATACAGCCGGACAGGAGCGGGTAAGTAGAATCAGGATGTGGGGTGACAGTTCTGGCTGGAGTTTGGGTCACTTTTCAACCCTTGCCCTGAAAGTCATGATGTGGCTGGTTTTAAGAAGATCTATTAGAACATCTGTTTCTATGCAGGTTTTTATCAAGATACGGGCACTGTAAATATGTTTTTATTTTTCATTGTTATCATGGTTAAAGTACAGATTTAAGGATGATTTCCTAAGAAGATGAGCTTGTAAAACAGAGGACTGGGTTTAGATTCACTGGAAGGGAGTGCCGTTTCAAAACAAGGTGGTGGCAGGGGGCAAGCCAGCAGCTGTCTCTAGTGCCATTTCTAGTTGAGTTTTAAACATCCAACTGCAGCATTTGCAGCCAGTGCAACTGGCAACATGAGAATCAAAGTGAAATAAATCATCATGTTTTATAGTACAGGTAACTCCAATTCTGGAAAAATGAACACCGAAGCTAACAGAATGTGTTAGCAGCTGTATGAGTTATTAATGTGAGTAGGATGTGGGTTTAGGCTTTCAAAAGCAGTGTTTCAAGACATGCTATGGATGTTAACTGATCTCTTATTTTGTAAAGTTTTACTTCTCAAAGTATCTCAAATATATTTGTATTGCATTTCAGTGCTCTGGATTTTGAATGACAATTTATTTCCCTCCAGCAGCACCATATAAAGCAAACTTATGTTCTCAAAAGATGTAGCTCAGGGCTATGTCAATAGTATCCATGTTACCAGAAATAGCCAAGACCTTCCGTTACTAGGAGTCAGTCAGCATTTGCTGTAAATAGTTTGTCTTAAGTGAACATCCTAGCCCATTCTGAAATGTTAATGCTGGAATGTGAAGTTTCTGAAAGATAGAGTATGAATTTTAAGAGGCTGGTACTCTTAAATGGAAAGCTTTATAAACATGCCTGCCACAACTTGGCAGGAAACATCCATTACATATTAGCATTCCATCCTGTTGTCTTTAACTGTGTTTGCAAGCAATGGGAGAACACCCTAATTTGGATTCAGCACGCTGCAGTCTGAGGAAGCATATCTGTACGTGACGAGCACGTTCTTGTCTTTCTGTTTTTAGACTTTGAGTGATACTTCTAATTTTCTTCCATACAAGTTGCATGATTGTTTATTGAAATAAAAAAAGGAAAGATGTCTTACCTGGGCTCAGACCCAAGAGCTGTGATACCTGTGAAGCTTATGTTCCACACCTCAGAGAAGTCACTGTGAGGCCTCAGTATATCCAAGCAAACCACTTAAATATGGGAGCAAGGCTATTTACTTTGAAATGATGCCAGTATCTTCCTAGACGTTTCTTTCTCCAAAATAGAAAAGCACTATCACTTATTGCTAGTCACAAATGGTCTGTGTACCTGTTTTGCCGTGAAATCTGTAGTGTAGTTTTCTGGTCATGCAACACATCTGACAATGAATTATTGAAGGGTTCCCTTCCTTGGTGATCTGGAATACCAAAGATGTCCACACCGTTCTTGGAACCAAGATGTCTCTGCTGAGCTATGGTGTGTTCTTACCTACCAATTGTTAGTCTCTCTGGATAATTACATGTTGTCATTTTACTAATTCTGTCAAAACATAAATCCGAGGCTGTAGGGCAAGCTGAAATATTTGGAAAAATAGTAAAAGGAAAATTCAGTGTTTCTGGTAACATCTGTTTTGTTAATGTATTTTATCTGCTGACTGCTCTTAGGTGGAAAAAAGTATCTAAGTGTTAGCAGCAGGAAATGAGAGTCATACAAAATCGGCAAGTGAAAGTTGGTTTATTCCCAATGTAAATAGTCAAATAATCAAAAAGCCAGGTTGCAACCAGTCCAAGTGGTGGTTTACCAAATATGTTTCCCTTTACATTTTAGTACTTAGGAGGAAGAGAGGGATTATGTCCCAACGTGAACTGAATGCCTGCCCATGTTTCCCTTTCCCACTATTAAATATTTTTATATTCTGAACTTTGTGTTCAAAATCCTGTTTTCAAAACAGAATTTGAGAACCAAATGTAAATGGTCTGGAATTCTGCTTTATAGCAAGATTTTTATGATTTATAATATTGCTCTCAGTTGAACTGTACTAAGCAAAAGGAAATTGGTCTTTTATTAGAACCAAATAAGTCTTTATGAAAAACTGTATTCTATTCATGGTTTTTACCCTGAGTAATAAGATGCACAAAAGCTCTAAATCACATGTGCTTACATCAAAGCAGTGCATGCGGTTTACTGTGCGCTTTGAGAGTTTTGTTGATAGATTAGTTGTCTTCTTTTTAAATTAGACTTTCACACTGTTTTTAAGAATGCTTGATTGATATTTTTGATGCAACTTAATAACATGCTCTAACTTTTTTTGGTAAAACTATGCTCATGCAAAGGTACAGGCCCGGTTTATACCCTGCAAATGCACTACCAGCCAAATATGCCTGCTGTAGACTTAATTCTGAAAACTACGATAAAATTACTGCAGCCTTTTACTATCTAGCATGTTCCTTAAAGCTCTGTTTGCAACAGGTCACATAGTTGTGGGCTTTTGAAGTTTTTGGTTTTAAATGTGCTTCTAAATTTTGGGAAAAAACTTAAGCGAAATTCCTAAAGCTACAGGTTAGATTATGAAGAAACAAACGTTTCTAGCATTTCAAAGTGCCATTACTGATCCGTGGGGCTAGAGGATGACACCAGCTTCTGAACATTTCAGATCAGTAGCAATAGATGCTAATTTTCTTGAAATTACTTTGTCCAAAAGCATGATTGTCTTAAAGTGTAAGAAGAGAGTTCAATTTTGACTGTTTTCCCCTTGCTTGGTGTTTAAAGTTGAGTGTATATCCTGCAGGTTTGGTCTGTGTATAATCTACAGTCTTAAATGAGAGAGTCTAATCTAGTCAAAACAAGGTCAAGTTTGGCTTCCGGCTTTTTGCAGTAGGTGTACTGCTGATGCCTATATTATTTATTGGTTGGCCTTTGTAAAACAATACTTTGTTTCATGTTCATGAAACATGAAACAGTAGAGTTCATGCACTCTGCTGCACAGCCTCTCTGTAATTGTAAAGAAAAGATTTCTGCTAATGTGAACTTTAAAGCTAGTTTTCACTTTCTCCAATAATAATGATGATAATAATCATGGAGGTCAGTGGAAGATCAAATTCATAATGTGTGGTGTCTGTCTTTCAGTTTCGTGCTTTAGCCCCGATGTATTACAGAGGCTCAGCTGCAGCCATTATAGTGTATGACATCACAAAAGAGGTAAGAAATTTGATCTTGACTCACCATTACAATTTCTGGATTTTTTTTGGGGTCATGGGCCAGTTCTGATTCTTAATTCCTTCTGTTTTGTGTTTTTTCTTCTTTCCACATCAGGAAACTTTCTCAACATTAAAGAACTGGGTTAAAGAGCTTCGACAGCATGGACCCCCAAACATTGTTGTAGCTATTGCAGGAAATAAGTGTGATCTTAATGATGTAAGGTAAATAACTGTGGACAGTTTGTAGGCTTTCACTTAAGCTTATAGTGCTAAAAATATTTCAGAGCAGGTAAGAAGTATGGAGCAATTTAAACTGTTTTGCACTAGCATTGTAGTTTCACAGGGGGTCTGAGCTGTTTTTACTGTCAGATTTGGTTCGTTTGCCCTTGGACAGTCTTACCCACTTCTTCCCAGTGCTGGTGTGAGTACGTATGTGATTCAGCAGTAAATCAGGCTGTAAAATAGATCCAGATTAAAACTATTTAAAAAAAAAAAAAGAAAAATGATCCAAGTATATTTATCTTGCTTGCACCGTGAATGCTTGCTGGCATGACAGAGGTAGGATAGCAGGGTTAGGAATGAGCAGTTTACAGGGAGACAGTTTTACTTTTTCTGGTGGCAGTGCCAAGTTACACAAGCCTTAACTGCCTGTGAAACTACAGTGTAATACAAGCTGTTTACCTCACTTTATAAGAAGTACCCCTGTCAATCTGTAGCACCTCATTTTTTTTAGGAAAAACATCAAGCCTGTTGGAAAGCATTGTGTAGGTTTTTCTGACTTGCTTGTTCAGGTGCCTTCCTTCCCTGCTTAAATATTGGGGTGGAATTGGATGTGGCTGAAATAATTGCAGAGAGAGGGAAAAGTTCTTGAGAAACTTTATGAACAGCCAGACTTTCAAGAAGGCATGTACTAAAAACAAAAGAAGCCCCTTTTTATTGATGTCTTGGTTAAATAAGCCAAAATTCAGAAAGTGTGTGCAAACTCTTGCTTTTAGATTTCATTGGAAAAGGTACCACAGCTGGCATTTTGAAGGAGACAGATGGTTATGCATTTAAAGAACCACGGCAGAGTTGGTTCTTGGAATAGTTTTACAAATTGTTATTATATAGCAGTTATCTAGTGAGATCCAATAACTTTTGTTAGAAGTAGCATGTGTCTTGAAGGAAATATGGTATAAAATTACTTGGAAGACAAATATAAGGCATGCAGTATTAAGTCTCACATGCTCCTTTCTTGGTGCTTAGGTGGCATCATAAATAATGTAAACATTGCTATTCAAGGTAATGAGCAAGTTTCCTTGTAGTTTAGTCAGAGGCAGTATTTGAGTCACTGATCCAGTCTGTGCTTTTGATAGCTTAAGTCTCTTGTTACCAAGAGTAGTCTGTTTTCTAGAAATTTTATGTAAAGTGATAGAACATATAGTCCAGTCCTCTCTCCACCTATTGGGTATGTTTTTTTCACATTAGGGAAACATACTTCATTATCAGCCTGCCTACTTAGGGGCGCAGAGTAACTTTTTCACTTCTTTGTCTATGTTTTTGTGTGCTCAGTCTGTTTCTGTTATAGCTATGTCTTCATGCTTCATGTAATTAAATGCCATACTAATGATCTGCCCAGTGTTACGAGATACTTGGTTTTGTAAACAGCTGTAGGAAATCCACTGGATTAGTGGAAATAATGCTTTAGGATCTTTTTGGTACATCTAAAACTGTTCTGTGTGTGAAGAATAAAGCACTCCCTGATGATTGATTGCAGACCTACGCTTAGAGCACTCAAGAAACAAATTCCACTGTAATGTTGTCAGAGGGATTAAGGCCTTGTTTAGTTTATGACTGTGCTTCAGTGATGCTCATACCTCAAGGCAGGGAGGCAGCACAGAATAAAGAATGAGCATCAACTTCAGGATGAGGGAACACTGTGATGACCAACAGGTAAAATACAAAATACTCATTTAATTTAATGAGACACTTAAAAGCTTAATCTATCCCTTAAGATTTTGAGTAATGGGGTGGGGTTTTCTTGCATTCACAGCTTTTTTTTTTTCTTTGCTTTGTTCTTCCAGAGAAGTCATGGAAAAAGATGCTAAAGACTATGCAGATTCCATTCATGCAATATTTGTAGAGACAAGTGCGAAAAATGCAATAAACATTAATGAACTCTTTATAGAAATTAGTAAGTATTTAAACAGTTAATGTGCTTTCTTCTGAAAGAAGTTCAAGTAGAGATTTGATTACTGTATTATAGTTTTTGTGCTATTTAGGTGAGAGTACTGACAAATTTGTTACAGTCAGCCATCAATACCAACTGCAAAATGAGCTGTATAAATTTTTGGTCATCTGATGACCTCTAAATATTCCTTCTAGAGATTTTAAGCCTACTGTGATGCTGCTGGATAAATAGCAAGCAGGGCACTCATGTCAGAAGTCAGTGTCATCTTACTGTATCTGTTATTGAATGTTTCAATTAGTACTTCAGGGTTATGGAAGGGAAAGGAAATGGCATGAGGAGGATCCAGACTTTATACAGCTGAGAAAAGGAATTAAGTTCTCACTCTTAGTGTTTGTACTTAGTCTAAAACAGTGCATTTTCAAAAATCAAAGAATTCATAAACATTAGATTACTGTCTAGGAAATAGCAACTACTGTGCATAGATTTTCCACAAGTTTTTTTGTGATACTTTGGGGGTTTTTTTATTAAATTGCAAATCTTTTCTCTCTCATTCATGGAATGTATGACAATGACTTGTTGTGTGTGTGTGAATGAAAAACAGACAGTATTCCAAAGTGAATCTCATGTAGTATTATTTTCAGGGTATGTTTCAGGCAACAGCACCAATGTGCAGGTATGTCAGCCTCTTTGTAAAAAGAGGACAAACAGCAATCCATTTGTGTGTGTGTCCACTGCAGTTTAGCTTTGTATAACTACAGAAATATTAGACTTAAGGAAAAAAAGATAGTGTCCTTATAAGCAGTTGAATATATTGAAGCTGTTGTAAAAAGTAAGTGCTGTAGATGAGCTTCCTGATTTCACTGACTTAATAGTTGCTCTCTAAAATTTATCTTGAATAATCCATGGAAAAAAACCCCATAAATCATCTTCAGAAAAGAAAACTCGACCAGGAATAGTTAATTTTAAAGACTGATTAGGTGACTGAAGTGGCACTTTAAGCCTGATGCAGGTGATCTACTGTGGAAATATAGGTCAAGATGGTGATTCTCAATTAAGATATTCTGGATGGTATTGGATCCTGCAGAGCATATTCTCTGGGTGCTTTTATAGTTTAGCTCTCGGAGTCTAGATTGGCCTGGAGTGTGAATGCTGCAAATGCTTTTGTGGAACCATACTTCTTACAGACATAGTATAGACTGTGAACTGCCATCCTTCTGTTACGCAGGAATGTTGTAATTAGTGACATGTAACTAACTGAAGACACATTTTTGTATACAAAACATACACTGAATGCTTAAAATTAGTTTCAAGTATAATGTTTGCTATAAATTTTTTTTCTGCCTCTTCGTAGGTCGCAGAATTCCATCAACTGACACCAACCCCCCATCTAGTGGTAAGGGCTTCAAACTTAGAAGACAGCCATCTGTGACAAAGCGCAGCTGCTGTTGACTGATCCCTTATAAAATCAGACTTGTTTATACAGTAGGTGGTCTTGGAAGTTAATAGTTCACGTTGGGTTTATATTATCAGTCTTAGATCTTTATCTGCTGGTGTTCATATACCCATGGTCCCACAAAAATGGACCAGTTCATCTGACATCTGTACACTTGCAGAAAAGACTGCAATCATAATGTCAGCCTGTTTACTTACAAAACATGTAGTATCTTACATTCAAAGGGAATCCATCATTGCTTTTTTGGCCTTGCTTGAAAGGAAGGTGACTATATGGATGGTAGAACTGAAATGTTTAATAGTTTTGTAATCAAGATTTTAGGGGGGGTTTTTTGTAAAAAAGGGAAATGAGCACTTTTGTGGGACTTAAGGGTGAGAGGAATCTGGAAGTTAGATGTCACTTCTTTTTCTTCAGTGAGCCTTATTTTAAATTTAATTGTAGCTAATCCAAAGTACAATGGGACAGTTGATGTGAGGTGGCTACAGAATAAGCAGCTGAAGACAAATAATAGGCAAATCAGTCCATCCAGTCCCCAAATCCCATTTGCACTTTTTATTTAAAGATGATATGCACCAGGGGTGGGGACACAAGCAACAGGTCTTAAACCACAGACAATCTTCTTTTCATGCTGACCTTAATCACTTTAAGGCAAACTGATATGCTTCTAGGCATCTTTTTGTTCCTACAAGTTTTTTTAATATTAAGATGTTGGTTGAAGAAAACGTAGCTGTAGTTCTGACTAAATTAAGTGGTAACTGACTAAAAACAGATGCTGTAAACAGATTCTGCCAGTGGTTCTGATACGACCTAAAGGTTTTTTGGGAAAGCTTTTCATTGCTTGCCATGTGTAAAGTGTTCATATTGTATTTATGAGACCAGTATTTAAAGCATTATAAGTTATGTAAAAACAGTAAAAAAAACAATGCGACCTTATACACTCCTTCCATTCCACACCTATGGATAAACTCCTGGGGAACCTCCATCAGGGGTATTTTTTCCTGCGTTTTGGGTATTGTCACTGTGAGTTCATCCAGAGGCAGACTGAAATTCTTTCTTTTAATTGCATTTGAAAGAGCCAATGGAGAATGCTGTTGGCTCAGCGTGAGGTCTGTCTGTTGAACAAATTTTCATCTGTGGTGCACACAGTTTTTTCCTGTTTTGGGTACAAAAGTACAAATAGGAAGTAACATTAAGATGTGGTAATGTAGATCATTACCTCTTGGTTCCTGGGCTGTTTCATCTGTGAGGGTTTTTAGCAAATCAGTATTTAGCTTATTCCGTGTTGGTTTTAAGTATGCTTTCAATTAAACTGTAGGTTGACCATACCCCATTTGTGCTATTTTATTGATTTTTACTTTGTTTCCTACCAGCACTAGTGAGAAACTTTATACTTTTGAAGAAAAAGAGCTTAATAGACTTGAGTATATGCTAAAATACATAGTTTAGCTTTAGTATCAAAATGAGGTCATGTTGATGAGGCTTATCCTTTGTTTTTCATCTTGTTTTCTATCTTGTCATGTATTTTCCCTGAAGGAAATGCAGAAAAGTTTGTAAGAAATGAAAGGACTTGTACTTCAGTTTGTGTTAGTGAAAATTCTTGTAGAGCTACTCTAGAGCAAAACAAGTGAACTGTTACAGTGAGATTTTGAATGGGTTAGTATGTTTTAATGAAATTTGGTGACTACATTTTTATCATGCCTTTGACTTACCTTGCGTTGTCAATTATGCTGTCTTTGCCGCAGTTGTACACGCTGTGTACTTATGGAGAGCCCAAGAAGTATATCTTCATCAAAAAAAAGGCTGTTTGAAGCCCCTTTGAGACATTGGTCATTAATACAGCATCTCATAGTATAGACAGACTTGTTTGGTGTTGAGCCTTACGTATAATATATTTTTTCTGTTGCTCATAGCAAATTCTGAACAGAAAACTTCAGTGCTCCTACAAAATGCTTCAGGGAAATATAATTAGTAAAGAAAGAACAGAGTAACCTTGTTCTTTGGCATATTTTTAATTACAAAAAGGCAGGTTAGCAATTAAATATAGGACTTTCATGGTGGCAGTCATGGAAATCCCTAATTTCTTTGAAATATCTTAATTCTTACTCCTGGCAAAATTTAAAAAAAAAAAAAAAAAATTGTGTGGTTATCTAATTCAACTAGGTTTCTAAAAAATTTTGTGTTCACAGTGCTTCAGAAGTCTAATCTACACCAAGATACCAGGTGCTTTAGTATCTTAACTGTGATACAGAAAATTCTGCTTTTATTAAAGTTGGTTATAATAAATGTGGAAAACTTTGAACTTGGAAAGATCATCGTAGGAGAAGGAAAGTCTCCAATATTCGGAGTATCTTTCATGTAGATTAGTAGAAAAAGGCATTTCAGACTTTAAGTTATTGTTATTGCCTGTCAGCATGTGGTGAAAAATTAGTTTAAAATCTGTTTTTGTGAGATAACAAATGTTTTAATATTTATTCAAGATTTATTGACTCAAGAAGAAAATATTGGACTCTAGGCAAGACTGAGAGCTAGGGTAGTATTGAGATTATTGTAGTTCTCTCCAGTCAGGGGAGAGATCCGTATATCTTAGCAAATCTTTATAAACTGCTTTCTGATCTATCGTCACTTATTTGCTCTACACCAAAATTACACTTTAAAAGCAAACAAAAAACCCCCACCCCAAATACTTAAAGAAGCAGCAACAACCTGGCCCTTCACAAAGGCAGCGAAATCTTACTGCCTCAGACTCCTTTTGCTTATATTCCCAGTCTGAGTGGAATGCCAGCGTACTTCGTATCTTCCTTTGCAGTTCTCATCTTGGATTACTGCAGTTAATGAAAACATGGAAATAGCCAGTATTTCAGATTGTCCAAACTACAAACACTGAAGTGAGGCCGTGTTTTAAGAAATGCCTATTTAAAATGACAGACTGTTGATGTAAGTTCTTTTGAGCCAAGATAACTGTTTATTGATCAGTTGGCCCTAGCTGAGAGCTGGAATGCAGTCTTCCCTGAATGAGATGCACATGTTCGTTATTTCATTTTTGTTGAAGAAAAAGGGTTTCTTTTGTATTAATAGTTTGTTAGGCCATCTGCTTTCATCTTGCGCTAGGCTTGCTGAAACTGATTATATTTTGTCCTAACATAGCTTCTCTGTTTGGAGATACATTAGCCTTTGGGTGTTTGGAGTGTTGATTATCAACCATTCCAGCTAAATTTTTAGTAACTTTTTTTGGTTAAGACATTGTTGGAAAAAGCTTGGGACTGAAGCTTTCTGTTTAATGAATGGAGCTCATCATAGAGACTAGACTTTCAGATACTCTCAAAGGGAATTAATTGCTGCAAAACAAGTTTGGAAGGGTAAAGTATCATATATGTAAAAATGTAACAAGGTGCATGTCATATCATTGATCCAAAGCATTTTTTAACTGACAAAATATGGCTATTTCAACTTCTAAACACTACCAGTTAAGGAATTACAGACATCTACAAAAATATCATTTGATAACTGCTTAGTCCTTAAGCTTTGGAGCAGCTTAAATGTGCCCCCCAAGTTTTAGAGGGTGTCTTCATGTGACCCTCTAAATTACAAGTCTCTTAGCTGACTTGCCAGGCTCTTGATCTGTGCTGTAGGTAGTTTTGTAGTATATTTTATATACATGCTCAAAACTGGCATACTGATTGCCTAAACAGGTGAAATCTGGAAGCTTATGTTTAATAACAGAAGCATCTAGTGGTCAAACTACTGAAAATTGTAATAGGTGCTTTGAAAAGTTCTACGACAAGTCTAACAAATCTTGCTGTTGCCAACAAGGTAAAGACTTCATTTACATTACTAGGTCCAAACAAAACAAATCACTGCACTTCAGATCCCTGCTGACATCAGTCAGACCCTTCCTTTAAGTGCTACAGGATCAGACAGTTAATAGTCTAGAGGCGTGTTTTATGCAGACCTGAGTCTTTGTGTTGGTGTACATAATACCATTTTAATGCTACCAGCCTGCTCAAGAAAGATTATTTATGTGCTTGAGAACAGGGTAAGAGGAGAGGAGGCAAATGCCTACTTACTGAGTTGGATGTCTAATCCTTTAACCTGGTTGAGAGTGTGGGATTCATAGGGAGCTGTCTACATCCATGGTTAAAGCTTCATTTTAATAATCAAAAAGTAACCATTCAAGATATTAAGCCTGAATTTAAAAGTTGGCCTCAATAAGATTTTTGTTATGATGTTAATCCTAAATTATTCCTTAACATTAGTGTTAATTTCCAGTATAACATACTCAGTACTGGTTGGAAAATGAAGCTTTATCAGTGATGTTTGAATGACTTTCTTGTGAAACAGACTTTAGTGTTTATTAAGGATGGTGTAGTCTATTTGTGGCATGCTATGTCAGCAATCTGCACAGACTATCTTGGGATTTGATGACTTACAGGAGAGAAGCTGTCTGAACTGTGTAGCTAGTGACCCTGTAGCAAACCTCACTTAGAAGCAGCAATAGCTACATAGGTGTAGAAAAAAATCATCTCAAACATGAGGAGAATCTGAATACGTCACTGACTTTAACTTCTACACTGCCTACTCATTTTCTATAAAGCTTTGTGTATCACTCTTAAACACTTTAAACCTCTAAAAAAAAAGGCTTTTCTGTTCATTGACAAAAAAGAAGGACAAATTTTCTTAACTTTTCTAGGAGGAAGTTGTTTTACAGTGACCTGAAACTGTATGCCACAAGTCTGTTACTTGAAGCAGGAGAATTGTGTGCTTGGAACTAAGCTTCTAAAAAAACTGCACAAAGTTCTCTAAAAATAAAAACAAAAAATGCCACCCAAAAAACCCTGTTAAAATTTTATGTTCAGATCACATTCCTAGTAACAGATCACAGCGCTTGTAATGTCAGGTGATGGAAGATTTCTAGAAATAACATGTTGGTGCAAATTACCAGTCTAAGATAGAAATATAGGTTCTGGTATAAAAAAAAAAAAGTCATGTCAGCTATCAGTTTCAGAGTTGTATGGCTCCAGCTTGTCAAACAAAATGGGCTTGAAACCACATCTTTGCTTCTCATGCAAGAATTCAGGTGCCAAACGTATTTCCCTAAAATTATTAGTCTTCTCACACCAATGCTTGTTTCCAAAAAATCCTTTCTGACATTTTGCAGGTCTCAGAAATTTGAATGCAAACCCTTTCTTGGTCAGCTAGAATCAAAGATGCATGACTTGGGGAAAATCAAACAAGCATTACCAAACATTATCCGTAAAGTCACAGATGACAAATCTTTCAAGGGGTACAAGACTATCCTGAGACCCAAGAGTACTGATGGGCTTCATCTCTGACATGTCAAAATGAGCCTAGGGTCAGCTTTTTCCTCCCTCCTCCTCCCATTTCCACTCACCCCACCCTGAATTTTTAACATAGTGTTGTCAGCGTGTATGTGCTCTAAACAGCTATTTAAAAATACTTGGAAAAGTTGTAGTGGCTTAAAGTTATTTGGTGCTTCCTATTTTACATGGAAAATCAAGGCAGTAGGATGATTTGTCCCTGAACAATTGGGACAGCATTTGCTGAAACTGCTGTCATTCTAGAATAAAGGCTTCTCAGAAGAAACA